AATTATATAATAAATTCCTGATTATGAATAAGAAAAATAAAATGTCTATTCTTCTTATAAATTTAAAAAAAGGACTCTACTGACGAGCAAACTGATTTCTGAAAAAAAATAATTTGAAAGCAAGAAGGGACTCTACTTACGAGCAAAATGATTTTCGAGGTCATTTTTAGGAATTGAAAAGAAAAAGGGACTCTACTTACGAGAAAACTGATTTTCGAGGTCATTTTTATGAATTGAAAAGGAAAAAGGGACTACTTACGAGCAAATTGATTTTTGAGGTCATTTTTATAAATTTCAAAATGAAAAAGGAACTCTACTGGTGAACAAACTGATTTCTGAAAATATTCTTATAAATTTCAAGGTAAAGGGGACTCTACTCACAAGCAAACTGATTTTCTACGTCATTGTTAGAAATTGAAAAGGAAAAAGGGACTCTGCGTACGAACAAACTGATTTTCTACGTCATTTTTATGAATTGAGAAGGAAAAATGGACTCTACTGACGAGCAAACTGATTTCTGAAAAAAAGTATTAGTTTGAAAGCCGAAAGGGACTCTACTTACGAGCAAACTGATTTCCGAAGATTTTTTTTATAATATTCAAATCAAAAGAGATTACTGACTTCGGAAAACTTATTTCCGAAGCAAAAATAAACTCTACTCTAATTTCCGAAGGAGTCCTTATATTAGAATATGTATAATAAATTCATGATTATGAATAGGAAAAATGAAATGTCTACATTATTATTGCCGAAAAGCAGCTGAGATGTGTCAGAAATTAAAATAATATAAAATACAGTGTATGTATGGCAGATTGGATGATACACATATGAACAGGATATGACAAATTAATTCACTTAAAATATGAAATTAAGTATTAATCAGGGCCGGTCCTACCTTTAATGCGATGCATGCGAAAAATACGAGCGCACGCCTTAGGGGGCGCCGACACAAGATTCGGATATTAAATTTTCAATATTGTATTTTTTTCAATATGTAATTTCTTTGCATCTTTTACTAATCTTTCCGCAATATTTTTAAAATTCGTAAAAATTTCACTTTATAACAACAAATGGGAAAGTAAAGATGAATACATACATTTCAGCCCTTATAATATCGATTAGGAGAAGTTTAAGACGCAATTTTGGATATCTTAAATAATAAAAAATTTAATAAATTTGATCCAACATAAAGTATCAGTGTTATGTTATGGTTATGGTTATGTTAAACCCTTTAAAAGACTTCAATTTCCAATATAGTGTGGGAATTGAGATTCATCTTTTTATTTAAAGCAATTCTACATTTAACATCGCTCATATTATAAATGTATATGCATTTTAGCGTTGAGAGTAATTTAAAAAACGATCATTATTATTTTTAGGTAAACCGTAAATATTAGTATGTTATATTAAAAAATTGTAGACATAGGTACAAGACAACGTCTGTCGGGTCATCTAGTAAGAAAACTAGCTGTAAGTGGAATTCTGTCTTAAGGCAATTAAGGCATCGTGCCTTAAGGCAAATTGCTGGGAACTTCCCGTGCCAAAAATTATTAATTTTTTTTTAAAAACGATTAACATTTTTGAAAAAAATTTTACTTCGAAAAAATAAGATTTTTTAGAAATTTTTAAAATTGGACAAAAAATAGTACTTTTTTTGAAAAAAAAAATTTTTTTTTAAAAAAATTTTTTAAACAATTTTTTTTTGAAAAATTTTTTTTGGAAAAAATGTTATCTTTATTTTGACATATTTTGGAAGATCTGAACTTTTTTTCAAAGCAATCGTACTGCCTTAACTGCATAGAGACAAAATATAAAGCGCGTAAGCGCCGCGTCGCTGTCTAACGAAAAACATTGGTACGGAACCCATAGGAATGTAACAAAACTTATACTTATTGTTAAAATCTCAATAAAATATCTGATAATTTGATATGCATATGTCTATGTCTAATGATTATTGTTGACCGCCAAATGTTATTTTTTTTAGTTTTTTTTACTAGATCTCCGAAACCGCCAGACCTATCTTCATGAAAATTGATCAAATCTTCATCCTGTTCATACAAGTAAAATGTTTTTTTGAATTATTCCAATCGGACGCTCCGTTCTCTTAAAAACTGAGTTACCGTTTTTGGCCCTTTTTGCCCCATATCTTCGGAATGGCTAGACCTGCCTTTGACAAAAACTAATCAGCACGTCTCCTTATCAATACGAATCGAATGTTTTTTGAATTATTCAAATTGCTTCATCCGTGTTCCCGAAATCGTCGACGAAAATTTGTATCCGAACACACACACATGGACGCACACACACACCACACACACATACATCAATTTTCTCCAAGGTATGCCAACATATTCAGAAACCTCTGAAACGTGAAGATATATAAAAATTTTCATTTTCGATTTTTTTGCGATTACTTACCCTATGGAAAGTTAATTATAAATAAATCAATTTATCATCTCCAGAACATTAACAATCGTCATTTCATTTCGAATCAAATTCCAAAAAAAAATAGTTGCCAAATTTACACAAAATTGAAAAGTGCTCCCGCATAGTCACAGTCTAACGCATTTGCAAATAATTCTTGCGACATTTTCACTTATACTGTGCTCAGCTTGGCGGCATTTTCACATTTTTCAATAATTTTCACAAAATTGAAAAAGTGCTCCAGTACACAAACAGTCTAAACGCACTTGCGTAAACATTTCTACCAGAGTCGCGCTTAGACTGTGCTTAGCTTTGGTGATTTTTTTGAATTTTTAGTCCAAAATTACAAAAAAAAATTTTGAAAAAAATTAGAAACAAAAAATTTTTTTTTTCCAAAATCAATTGTTTTGTTGAAAAAAGCAGAAAGTTCTTTGAATCATTTAAATCGGACGCTTAGTTCTCTCAAAAACAGCCCATTTTTTTAAATTTAGCTCGGTATCTCCGAAACCTCTGGGCCTACCTTTGCCAAAAACTAATCAGCACATCTCCCTATCAATAGGAATCGAATGTTTTTTTGAACCATTCAAATCGGTTGATCCGTTCTCTCAAAACTCGCTTTCTATTATTTGCACTCTTTGCTCCATATCTCCGTAACGGCTGGACCTGCCTTGCCAAAAACTAATCAGCACATCTCCCTATCGATAGAAATCGAATGTTTTTTAAACCATTCAAATCGGTTGATCCGTGCGCCCGAAAACGTGGACGAAAAAAGCGGACATACAAAACACACACACACACACACACACACACACACACACACACACACATCCATTTTTCTGAAGTATGCCAAAATGTTCAGAAACCTTCAAAACGTCGAGAAATGTAAAAATTTTTGATTTCGATTTTTGGACGATTACTATAACTTACCCTACGGGAAGTTAATATATTTGCTTACATTCCACACGTCATCTCTTTTAACAATCCTCTGGTAAGAAAAACTGGGCAAATTCCTTCTCAAATAATCACAAACATAGTCGACATGTGCAAAAGTTGGACAGGTAACTTTTCCAGCAACATTGAACTTAATAACTGACATAGTAATAAATTATCGTTACTAGAAAATGCAAGTTCAATTGTTTTTTCCCAAATGTCAATTATCATTGAGAATTGATTTTTACAATGGTGAGAAGAAAGAGATCTCGATCAGATTCAATAGACATAAAAACAAATAAATTTTCTTTCGATTATCATGTTTGTGATTTGAAAAAGAAAAGTAAATCAGGAGACGATGGTCTTCCTCCTTTGTCACCAAGTGCCAGTTTTGGACAGAAATTTAGGAGGTTTATCCAGAAAAATGTCATACTTAACAGTAAGTAGAAAGATTAAATTTCATTTATTAACTTCCCGTAGGGTAGTTATAGTAATGGGCCGAAAATCGAAAATGAAAATTTTTGCTTGATTTCTCGACGTTTTGAAGGTTTCTGAACATTTTGCTGGCATACCTCAGAAACTAAATGGATGTATGTGTCTGATTTTTACTTTTAAATATGATGTCGAGTTAAAAAAGAACCTTTAGATTGCTGCAATAACATCAAAAAGTCAAAAGAATGTTGAAAAAATATCACTTTTACTGGATTTGCTTTCTAATATCCAACCGTTAACAAAAAATCACTTTAGTTGGTTTTTTCATATGTTTAGTTTCTTCAAAAGCTTTTGTACAAAAAAAATCCGGTTCGATTATGTTAAGATTTGGCAAAGTTAGATCCGTGGCGCTAGGGTACGAGCTTTGGTCTCGCAACCATAGGGTGTGTTTTGTATGTCCGCATTTTTTCGTCCACGTTTTCGGGCGCACAGATCAACCGATTAGAATGATTCATTTACCATTCGATTCCTATTGATAGGGAGATGTGCTGATTAGTTTTTGGCAAAGGCAGGTCCAGCCGTTACGGAGATACGGAGCAAAGAGTGCAGAAAATACAAATCGAGTTTTTGAGAGAACGGAGTATCGGATTTGAATGATCTAAAAAACATTTAATTTGTAATGATTGGGAGAAGAACTCTACTGACGAGCAATTAAAAATATTAGGAAAAATGACTTTACTGACAAGCAAAATTTTGCTTAAAACTTATTGAAAGAAAAAGGGACTATACTGACAAGCATAATGAAAAAATTAGAAAAAAGGACTCTACTGACAAGCATAATGAAAATATTAGAAAAAAGGACTCTACTGACGAGCAAATAAAAATACTGAAAATATTAGAAAAAAAATTTAATTTTTATTAGAAATAAAAATACTAAAAATATTAGAAAAAAGGGACTCTACTGACGAGCAAATAAAAATACAGATAGGAAAAAGGGACTCTACTGACGATGAAATAAAAATTTGTATGAAAAAGGGACTCTACTGACAAGCATAATGAAAATATTAGAAAAAAGGACTCTACTAACGAGCAAATAAAAATACAAATAGGAAAAAGGGACTCTACTGACGAGCAACTTAAAATATTAGGACAAAAGGGACTCTACTGACGAGCAAATAAAAATATAAATAGGAAAAAGGGACTCTACTGATGATGAAATAAAAATATTAGGAAAAAGGGACTCCACTAACAAGCAAATAAAAATATTGGGAGAAAGGGACCCTACTGACGAGCAAATAAAAATACACATAGGAAAAAGGGACTCTACTGACGACCAAATGAAAATATTAGAAAAAAGGGACTCTACTGACGAGAAACCTGAAGATTTGTAAAATGACAATGAAATTTTAAGAAACTTTAAGAGAAAAGAAACTTTACTGACTAACAAATGAAATTTGAACCCGGGAAAATTTGGCAAAGGCAGGTCCTGTCATTTCGAAGATACAGGGCTAAATATGCAAAAAATAGCAGTATTTGAGTGAACTAAGCGTCCGATATGAATGATCTAAAAAACTTTCTGCGATCTAAAAAATTAAAAATTCAAAATTCAAAAAATTACCCAGGCTAAGCACAGTCTAAGCGCCACTCTGGTACAAATGTTTACCCAAGTGCGTTCAGACTGTTTATGTACCGGAGCACTTTTCCAATTTTGTGAGAAAACTATTGAAAAATGTGAAAATGCCGCCAAGCTAAGCACGGTGTAAGTGAAAATGTCGCACAGAATTTTTGAGCAATTTTTCAATTTTGTGCAAATTAGGCAACTATTTTTTTTTGGAAATTGAATTCGAAATGAAATGACAATTGTTAATGTATTGGAGATAAATTGATTTATGATTTACATTTAATAAGATAGCAAAAATAATTAAAGTTACACTATTTGTTATTAACGTTTAAAATTTTTCGAACATTTCATTACGGTACGGGAAGTTCCAGCAATTTGCCTTAAGGCACGATGCCATACACCACTAGTTAATTTTTGTATTGTATTTTAATGTTATTAATAAACAAGTGGTAAAAAAAATGGATAGTAAAAACATTCATTGCTTTCTTTAACGACACTTTAAAAATGACCTAAAATTCGTCACTCTACACTAGAATACCCGCTTAAATTGCACGAGAAAATTATAAATATTTTTAATATTTTTATAATTTAATTTAATTTTAATATATAACATTTAATAAAGTTTGCAGATATTTAAATAATATTCTTTTACAATTTAGCAAGACATCCCGAAACAAAACTCCACTACAGGAGCCAAGCTGCCTTGACAAGAGAAATAACCAGGCATGTCAACTCCAAATACTGGTACATCATCCATCCATTTAGTAGATTCAGGTAAATAATAATCGAAATTTCCAGTTGACTCTATAAATCCCTTACTTAAGTCAATTTCCTCCTCCAGGTTGATTTGGGAGATGATAATCTTCGTAGTCCTCCTAATGTCCCTAACTTTGGCGCCCTTCATGCTCGCCTTTTACAATCTGGAGTACCTCAGGGGAGCCTCAACAGTCGATTTCATGTATGTAGTTTATACCATAAATGATTTCATCCTGATCCTGGACATTGTCATCAGCTTCAACACAGGAATACAGCATCATGCCACCAAATTCGTGTCTTTGGACGCCAAAGAAATAGCCTCGTAAGTTGTAAAAGATGGTGAAAGTAGTAATAATTAGTGCAGTAAACGGAGCTTTATGGGTCTGAATTTTTTTACTGTGCTCCAATTTGCATGAAATTTTGGAATTAGGTTCATCTTACCCTCAAGTTCAAAAGTGAAAACTATTCGGTGGAATGACACCCCTTCTCAATTGTGTAATTACGTTTTTCCAAACTAACGTCAGAAATCGATAGAACTAATTATAAGAAAAAAATGTCTAAAAAGTATAAGAAAACTAATACTTTTCAAAGTTACTGGGCACTAAAGATTCATATATTTTTGGCGTTTTACCTCATTTTTTTGCAAATATCTCCTAAAATATACATTTTAACGAAAATTATGCAATGAACAAAATAATGCCAATAAAAATCCCAATAAATCGGTGCTTTATAAAACGTTCTAGGAATAATATTAAGCAAGATTTGAAAGAGCAAAGTCGTTCTTTATTCCGTTCAAGATTTAATTATTGTATTTAAAGGCATCTAGTGGCGAGGTTTTACATTTTATGCATTTCGGTGACATTGGGTTTTATAGTGCTCAACATAAGCTTTAAAATGAGTGCTGTTACAAGTTTTTGTGTGTAAAATATGTGAGCTATCATGCAAATAAGAAGCATATACGATGTTGTTTTTTCATTTAAATCATATGGTTTAATGAGCGCCATTTCCACCAGAATTCAAGTAATTCACATTCCATATAGAATTCACTTCATTATAGACATCTTGATGGGTTCTATCAGATTCACTACTTTAGTACAAACTATTTTCAGAAAACTCACGATTTTATAAAAACTTGTTTTCCGATTTTTTTAAAAATCGAACTTACTTTCATTATATCTCAAAAAGAATAAAAGATAAATAGATAGAAAGAGATAGAATAGAAATTGAAAAATAGATAGAATAGAAAGATAAATAGATAGAAATAAAAGCATATAGATAAAAATCAAAGTGATCTTTCTGGCTTATTATTGTTTTTTATTATTTTTCTTTCACACAAAAATTGACAGAGTTATGATTGTTTAAAGAGTGCGCGGCCGCGCAGAGTATCTCTCGAGCCCTTCAACCGTTCGCCGTTTCAAAATGAAAGGAGTTACGAAAAAATTATGATGAAAAAAGTTGTAGCCCTTTTATTAACCTTTCAAATGGTATATTACAAATTGTGATGGAGTCAAAATTAAAGGAGTTATGACCCGAAAACTAATCGCATTTTTGTCGAATTGTGTCCATATTTCGAGCAATGTATAAGTAAGCAGAATAAAAGATACGTATAATATATATATATATATATATATATATATATATATATATATAGTAAAATCTCGACCTATTTATATGTATGTATATACCTATAATTCGAATTTTTGGACGATTAATACTGCAATTTAGTACATGTATGTAATGTAATCGAAGAAAATATGTACGTACATGCATAAGGAAGTTTTAATTTCTTAATAAACATTGATTTTCGTTGATATCTATGCATGTAATTGATATTTTTAATGAATACACAACATTATTCTTCATACATTCGATTATCCGAATGCCCACCGACAACAATTAGTCCGGTTAATCGAGGTTCTACTGTATATATATATATATATATATATATATATATATTTCCAATCCCACGATCATACATTTCGAAAATAATTTATTTAAAAGACGTTTTAGCAGGATGTCTAATATCTTCACACAACGACACGGCCATAAATAAAAGACTAGATAACAATTCGCTTTGCAATGACTATAAAATAATCCTCGACCATTTCCAAAAACACCACCATATCTGAATAAAGCGTGTATTTTATTATTTTATTATTTTACTAAAAACATATGTTTGCCAGTCTTTTTACACTTTCGCAAAATTTGTAAACACAATTCATTCAGTATTTAGACGTTAGTCAATCTGTACACACTAGAATGTAACCAAAACTTGTCAAAAAATAATTAGTTTAAATGTTCCAGTTATAAATAGCTTGGTTTATCACAGTGTAATAGTGTAGTGCATTTTTGTATAATTAATTTCTGTAAGTATTTATATATAAGTACTATAACTTTATATTCCTCCTACATTTTACAGTTTATATACATACAGTTTTTTTACTTGGTGTTACTGCCCGATTCTAAATAACTCATCAATATATATATATATATATATATATATATATATATATATATATATGCTTATGTGTATTTATAATAAAAACGTATATTTAAGAATAGTTTTAAGAGTGGATATGGTAATTATTTTCGAAAAATTTAAATACCATTCATATCATTTTCAATTTCGTAATTTTCTTTCAGTTTCAAAATAATTTTTTCGAACTATTTTTCATCAAAGGGTTGTTTTCAAGGGTTAAAAATTTGTTAATCAAGATAGAAAACCTAAAATATTATTTACTTTATACGTAATTCTTATTATATCATACCGAAATTTGTAAGTGTTTTTTTTCAGTTTAGAGGTTGTTTGAAGGGTCTTATGTGAAAATGATTTTATTGCAAGGTAAATGTATTAAAAAATATTTCTTAATAATATCCTTCAATATTAAAAACGTTTGCTAGCGATAAAATGGCTCAATGTCCACTTATTCATTAAGGAGTCGCAACCCGAATTGTTTTCACTTTTGAACTTGAGGTTAAGATGAAGTAAGCAAATTGGAGCACAGTAAAAAAGTTCAGAGGTTATACCCTTTTTTTCCTAAATGGTTTTTGCAGAGATTACAGTCGAAGTCGATTGACTTTGGATTTGATAACATCTGCACCCTTTCATATTGTATATCTGCAACCCGATGGTCAAGGTTTGTTGAATTTGCTTGCAGAATGCACGGATGTACTGATGATTTTTAGGATGCACCAGTTGCTTAAGAATTTTGGAAACATAGTACAGGTGATATAAAACCCAATTATTTTGTACATCATAAATTTATCATATGTCATTTATCATATGTCCTTTATCATATGTCCTTTATCTAGATTATGTTTCAAGATAGTACAGTGACCAGGATTGCAAAATTGGTGGTACGTACTTTGCTGAGCATCCATTGGGCAGGATGTTTAACCTACTATATACCCAAATTTTTTGAAACAATCGACAGACAAGGTAGCAAAGATAGTTGGCTCAATAATTATGAAATTGAGACTGATAATATTGCTGTATCCACGTGGAGCAGATATGTGTTCTGTATGTACCATGGAGTGTCTTTGTTCACAGGTACAAAACTAACAGCAAACATAATTTTAACTTTACTAAGAAATACAGGAAATTCTTTATCTATTTTAATAATTTGAATTTTAATTTTTTTTCAATTAATCTTATTAATTTTAGAAATTGCCGTATCTATTATTCAATCCTATGTATTTGCTTTTTTAAGAACTCTTTATTCTAGAGAAATTTACTAATGTCACAAAATCATACATTTCACCTCTTTGATTATAATCCTTGACCTTTAACTAGAGCTTTAGGAACTTTAAGTCTAGCATTAGGTATAACTAGTGGTGTATGACATCGTGCCTTAAGGCAAATTGCTGGAACTTCCAGTACCGTAATGAAATATTCGAGATTTTAAACGTTTTCAAATATATTATTACAAACACTGTAACTTTCATTATTTTTGCTATCTTGTTGTATCTTTCATTTCGAATTCAATTTCAAAAAAAAAATAGTTGCCTAATTTACACAAAAATTGAAAAAGTGCCCCCGCATAGTCACAGTCTAAACGCATTTGCAAATAATTCTGTGCGACATTTTCACTTATACTGTGCTTAGCTTGGCGGCATTTTCACATTTTTCAATAGTTTTCACAAAATTGGAAAAGTGCTTCATATATAAACAGTCTAAATGCACTCGGGTAAAGATTTGTACCAGAGGGGCGCTTAGACTGTGCTTAGCCTGGGCAATTTTTTGAATTTTTAATAAATGATTTATGAATCTAAAAAACTTTCTGCTTGTATTGACAAAACAATTGATTTTCATGATAAAAAAATTATTACATCTTTTTTTATTTTCCATAAAATATTTTTGTAATTTTGGATTAAAAATTGAAAAAATTACCCAGGATAAACACAGTCTAAGCGCCACTCTGGTACAAATCTTTACCCAAGTGCGTTTAGATTGTTTATGTCCTGGAGAACTTTTCCAATTTTGTGAAAACTATTGAAAAATGTGAAAATGCCGCCAAGCTAAGCACAGTATAAGTGAAAATGTCGCACAGAATCATTTGCAAATGCGTTTAGACTGTGACTATGCGGGAGCACCTTTTCAATTTTGTGAAGATCTGACAACTATTTTTAACTTCCCAAAGGAGAAGTTTATGTTTTCATAAAAAATCCGATTCGCTAATTTTATGTTTTCTCGACGTTTCAAGTCATTCTGAATCGAATGAGACCAAATTTAAGGAAAAAGTATGAGTGTGTGTGTGAACAGATTTTATGTCGTAAATCGACGCTTTCTCAAAAACTGCTGGACCGATTTCTGAAATTTAAAAGCCATTTTAATGTACCTCGATGAGGACTATCGTTTGTCAGATTTGTGCGACGATCTGCCAAGCCGTTTCTTTGTAATTTAAAAAAATGTATTAAACTTTTCGTCCACATACTAAGCTCATACTACCGAAATCAAAAACTGTTTGAACGATATTAGTTGGGAATGATACTGATTAGTTTTAGGTGAAAATCTACCGAGCCGTTTTCTTGTAATTAACTGTTGAAAGAAAAAATTAAGCCGATTTTCATGGAACTTTTTTTGACGATATATATCATAGTCTTATAGAAATTACTGAAATATTACGGCTTTATGACAAGTAGTTTAACCCTTTCTTTGCATGATTTTTTCTATTTTAATAAAATAAATCAGGGTGATGTAATTAGTGCTCTAGATTAAAGGTAAAATATTTTAAAAAAATCCTAATGTAAATAGAAGTATGTATTATGTAATAAACAATATGATGGAAATTTACATCATCATGCATTGCCACATATCTGGCTCAGATCTACATAAAATATGTTGTTTACTCAATCTTCTTTACTCTTTATAATAATTTTAAAAAAAACAATCATTATTTTTATTGATACATTTACTGAATTGGCCCATTGTAAGCAAACTCTTTTTACGTTCACCTCTTTCTTGAGCATTTTTTATAAACATTCCAGGAGTTTATAATAGCTCGATCAAATAGATAAAAAATATGCAAATACCACTTTTTAGACCTCTTTGTTGCATGATTTCTGCCCAAAAAGCTATACATGATATCTATTAGGTTGTCAAATTTTTCCTTTCCGCTTTTTTGCTCTTGGTTTATAATACAAAAAGGCGGATGGGAGATATTTGACAACCTTATACTTCTCCCATATGTTAATTGTTCGAACTTTGGCGACCAGTATGACCTTGTGCTAGGAATTTTGAATACTGACATGTAGAATAATATACCAAAGAACTTATACAAATCATAATCATAAAAAAAAACATTTACAAAAAATTCTTTGCCATACATTACAAGTGGAACTACTGCATAGTGATGTAAATTTCCATCACATAGTTTTGGGAATTTTATTCACAGTGTGTTGATATAAATTGTACATAAAACAATAAAAACATGAAAAAAAACCCTTTTCTCACTCATTTTCACTTTTACTGTATTTTATATCTTCGTTTACTTTCTTGTAACAAATTAAGAACTCGCTTATTTTTTCCAGTGACGTTTGCTATTTTTTAAAAATTGCATTTTGTTCTACGCAATAGTCGCCTAAAATGTTGTCAGGAACAACAAATTTACAGTACAAGGGTTTTTAGTACTTTTTTTTGTTGACTAAAATATTATGATTGAAATTTCCATCGTCATGCAAAGAAGGGTTAATTTTAAAAATTCATCAAAGTTTGAGAAAACGAGTAGTTTTTTGGCGCTTGTTAAAATTAAAATAAGACGATTTACTTGGTTTATCGATAGAGTACTTGGTCTTAATGAACATACTAAACCATTAAAGTCTTAAACATTAAAATGATTGATTTTTAAAAATTTGCTTCTAGAAAATACTCTGAGTTGACGTGTTCGTTCGTTTTCAATTATGTGTAATAAATCCACTTGGAATACTTTGAATCACTCATAAATTAATTTGTTTTTTATTGATTAAGTCGATTATTTACACATATCGAAAAGTTCATGTAACCTCATGGCAAAATATCAATACTAGAGAATGCAATACCGATAAAAAAATTCAATACCGGTATTTCGGTAATTTTTTATTTTAAAACCGGTAAATTACCGGTATTTTAATTATCTTAAAAAAACGTAAACAAAATTGAAAGTTACTAGTACAAAATATAAAAAATGTATATACAACTACAAATATATGCAATTAAACAATAAAAATAATAAAATATTACAATAAGTTTATTTTTTTAAATAATAATTTAACAAAATTATATCCAATTTAATTAATTCATTATCACTATCGACTATTTTGAGTACTTTTCACCAAAAACAAACTTATTAGTAAGAAAGATCAAAAACTCATAAAAGATCATATTACATTATTATAATAAACTGTATTGTCTGTATCCGATATGTTAAATTCGTATAATCTCTAATATTTAAAAAAAATAATTTTTCTACACTAATTTAAGATCGGATACTTTGTCAAGATAAATAATAAGTTACTATAATTGTTGAGTATTGTTATTTAAAACAATGTGATGCTTCTATAGTATTTTCAAACTTCGAAACGGTTCCGAAAAATAATATTTTATAATTGCAATAAGAAGCAAAAATATTTAGTATCATAATTGTTATGTATAAAGTTAGAAAAAAATAATGATTACGGGGGGGGTAATATGTATACATATTACCATATATGATATAGAATATTTTAGCGCAGATATCACTTAAAAAACTGTTACATTTTTACATAAGATGAAACAAACATTATTATATATCAGTCCAATTCTATTTATTGTAACACGATATGAAGCCCTTTGGAAAGCAATAAATATTCAGTTTAATGACGAGTTGAGATAATATTTGACATTTGTTTATCCTATATAATCACTTGAAGATATAGCTGTTTATGCAATTATAGAATTTAAAGATAAATTTGTTCCGAGAAATTTAAACTTTAGTGTATTTTGTATCAAATAGCGCTTATGTAAAAATACCGAAAATATCGGTATTTTTGGGGTAAATATCGGTAAAAATACCGCCGAAAAATCGGGCGGTTTACCAATAATTCGGTATACCGGTATTGCATTCCCTAATCAATACCAACTAGTTTGGTTTTCAGGAGGTTCTACAGCATTTTCCTCAACTTCCATGTACGACAAATACATGAGCTGCATCATCATAATTTGGGGAACAGCCCACCACATGAACGTTTTTGGTAAACACAAACAAAAACCACATAACTGCAGTTGATTTGTAATAATACCAATAAATTTTCAGTTATCATTCTCCAAATAATGATCGGTATAGACGCCTCCCAAGCCAAATACGTGGAAGTGCTAAATCAGCTCAAACAGTTCATGAGAAACAAACATCTATCAGTTGTTGTTCAGAAGAAAATAATGGCATATTTCGAGTATAGGTTCCAGAAATATTATTTTCATGAACATGCCATCATGGCAACTTTGTCAGGTAAGAGGGTAAAATTTTGATTATTGTGTGTTGGTGGTAATTTTTTGGTGATTTTGCAGAAAATCTGCACAAGGAAATAATTTTACACAGTTGCAGAGCTCTTGTTAGTAACGTGGAGCTGTTTCGAGGACTTCCTAAAGCTGTTATAGGTAATAATTAACTAGTGGTGTATGGCATCGTGCCTTAAGGCAAATTGCTGGAACTTCCCGTACCGTAATGAATTATTCGAGAAATTTTAAACGTTTTCAAATATATTATTACAAATACTGTAACTTTCTTTATTTTTGCTATCTCGTTTGTTATATCTGAGCAAATCAAATACAAATCATAAATCATAAATCAATTTATCTCCAGAACATTAACAATCGTCATTTCATTTCGAATTAAATTTAAAAAAAAAAATAGTTGCCTAATTTACACAAAATTGAAAAAGTGCTCCCATATAGTCACAGTCTAAACGTATTTGCAAATAATTCTGTGCGACATTTTCGCTTATACTGCGCTTAACTTGGCGGCATTTTCACGTTTTTCAATAGTTTTCACAAAATTGGAAAAGTTCTCCAGACATAAACAGGCTAAACGCACTTGGGTAAACATTTGTACCAGAGTGGCGCTTAGACTGTGCTTAGCCCGAATAATTTTATGATTTGAATTTTTAATCCAAAATTACAAAAATATTTTATGGAAAATAAAAAAGTTGTGATAATTTTTAACTTTCCGTAGGGCAAGTTATAGTAATCGCAAAAAAAATCGAAAATGAAAAATTTTATATATCTTTAGGTTTCAAAGGTTTCTGAACATTTTGGCATACCTTAGAAAAAATGGATGTATGTGTGTATGTGTGTGTGCGGATACAAATTTTCGTCGACGATTTCGGGAACACGGATGAAGCGATTTGAATAATTCAAAAAACATTCGATTCGTATTGATAAGGAGACGTGCTGATTAGTTTTTGGCGAAGGCAGGTCTAGCCGTTTCGAAGATACGGAGCAAAAAGTGCCACAATCAGTAACTCAGTTTTAAGAAAACCGAACTCCAGATTTAATAATTCAAAAAACATTTTATCTATATTAACAATATAAAGAACTGATCAAATTTTTATGAAGGCAGGTTTAGCGGTTTCGGAGATCTAGTAAAAAAGTAAAAAATGCCATTTGGCGGTCAAAAATGATCATTAGACATATGCACGTCAAATTATCAGATATTTTATAGAGATTTTAACAATAAGTATACATTTTGTTTACATTCCTATCGGTTCCGTACCAATGCTTATCCGTTAGACGGCGACGCGGCGCTTACGCGCTTCGATATTTCCTCTCTATGCAGTTAAAGCAGTACGATTGCTTTGAAAAAAAGTTCAGAATTTCCAAAATATTTCAAAATAAATTTTTCTTCAAAAAGACTTTTTTTCAAAAAAAAGGAAATTTTTGTCAAAAATTTATGGTTTCTCAAAAATCTATTTTTTTCAGAGTATTTTTTTTCAAAAATGTTAACCCTTAAAAAAAAATGTGATACGGAAAGTTCCAGCAATTTGCCTTAAGGCACGATGCCATGCGCCCTACTAGTTCTTTTTTTTTCAAAAGTTTTGGAAGTCAAGTATAATTTATTTTTATTGTTAAAGAGGTGTTACGTAACAATTGCCACATTATTTAATCAATTTATAAAGAAAATATATTAACATATTTTAAACTAAATAACAGTGCTCAAAACCAAAAAAAAAACAAACACACTTGTCAATGTCGCCCGATTTAAATCTATCTTTTGCCCTCTACTTTAAAATAGTATCGTAAACAACTACTTGCATGAGATAATGATAGTAGACTAATATAATTTTACCCTTTTCAGGAAATATAATTGGATACCTAAAACAAGAAATTTTCCTAACCCATGACGTAATCGTCAAAGCTGGTTCCATTGGAACCAGCATGTACTTTTTGTCCTGCGGGACAGTTGCTGTAATTTCACCATTGGGAAAAGAGGTGAGTGAAAAAATAGACGTATGTGTTAATGTATGTATGTGCGGATACAATCTTTTGTCGACGATTTCGGGAGCACGGAGCAACCGATTTGAATGGTTTAAAAAACATTCGATTCCTATTGATAGGGAGACGTGTATTGATAGTTTTTGGCAAAGGCAGATCCAAGCGTTTTGGAGATACGGGGCAAAGAGTGCAGAAAATAGAAATCGAGTTTTTGAGAGAACGGAGTATCGAATTTAAATGATCTAACAAACATTCAATTTGTAATGATTGGAAGAAGTGGTTATTAGTTTTTGGCAAAGACAGGTCCAGCGGTTTCGGAGATACAGAGCTAAATGTGCAAAAAATGGCAGTTTTTGAGTGAACTAAGCGTCCGATTTGAATGATCTAAAAAACTTTCTCCTTGTGTTGACAAAACAATTGCTTTTGAGGATAAAAAATTATTACACCTTTTTTTATTTTCCATAAAATATTTTTGTAATTTTGGATTAGAAGTTCAAAAAATTACCCAGGCTAAGCACAGTCTAAGCGCCACTCTGGTACAAATGTTTACCCAAATGCAAGTTAGACTGTTTATGCATGGAGACTTTTCCAATTTTGTGTTAAAACTATTGAAAAATGTGAAAATGCCGCCAAGCTAAGCACAGTACAAGTGAAAATGTCGCATAGAATTATTTGCAAATGCGGTTAGACTGTGACTCTACGGGAGCGATTTTTCAATTTTGTGTAAATTACGCAACTATTTTTTTGAAATTGAAATCAAAATGAAATGACGATTGTTAATGTTCTGGAGATAAATTGATTTATGATTTATGATTTACATTTGATTTGCTCAGATATAACAAGATAGCAAAAATAATGAAAGTTACAGTATTTGTTATTAACGTTTAAAATTTCTCGAATATTTCATTACGGTACGGGAAGTTCCAGCAATTTGCCTTAAGGCACGATGCCATACACCACTTGTTAATTAATAAAATCCAAGATTTGTTTGGAAGTATGTTTATTTATAACAAAAAAAAACTAATCGGTTAATAATATATATTTACAAGCTAATAGTGTGGTAAGACATGCAAGAACATTGTGAATTCATTAAAATAACATATATAAATTAATCGATACTGATTGAAAATATAAAATTGAAATTACATAATACAAGTTATCAATAATGTCTTGATAATAGTTTGAAAAATATTTTTTTTAGGATTTAAATTGATATGAAAAAGCAAGCTATATATATATATATATATATATATATATATATATATATATATATATATATATAATAAGGAATGATTTATATTGTAATAATAATTTCAAAGTGTCGTCAAAGAAATATAAATCATAACTGTTGTTATAGAAAAAAAATATCAATATATATGTATATATATATATATATATATATATATATATATATACATATAATCCTGCTTTTTCATATTATTATTTATTAAAAGTCTTCATTTTCATTTTCTAATGTTTTCCATAATCAAATATCAACAATTGTCATTTAAAAATTACATCCTAATCTATCCTAAATCTAATTATTTGGTTTATTTGGATCCTCAGAAGGCTCCCCATTAGGCCCCATTTGCCTCCTCAGCGACTCGATCAAATCAGGATTGGAAGACTGCATTTGTTGCGCTAATTGATGCCCAGCTTCTATCAAAGCCTCCATCCCGGGAGCACCTCCCTGCACATTGCTTCCCATAAAACTCATCATGTTCTGCATTGCCGGATCCGATAACATATGCGTGGCCATGTTCATGAGCGTAGGGTTGTTTAGGAGCATGCTAATATCAAAAGGAGCACCTCCAGGTGCTGAGTTTGATGGTTGTGGAGCGCTTGCTAGTTTTTCCTCAGTTAAGGTTAGGTTGTTTTGGTAACTTTCATTCTCCGGTTCGAGTTCTAGGGCTTTTTTGTAACTTGTCAAAGCTTCTGCGTGTTTGTTCAAGCTTGAGTAAGCTAGACCGAGGCGCCCATAAGCTTTGCTGTATGTGGGGTCTATGCGCAAGGCTGATTGGCATTCTTTTATAGCAGCCTCGTGGTTGTTGAGTTTGCTGTATGCAGCTGCACGATTACAATAGTAAACAGCGTTATTAGCATCCAGGATGATGGCTCTGGTGTAATGATCCAAAGCATCCAAGTACCTCTCGCTTTTCATCAAGTTATTACCCTCGTTCTTCAAAGCTTCAGCCTCAGCTTTGGCTTTCTCGATAGCCTTCTGATTTTCAGACAAATGCTTGTTGAATATATTAATCAAAGGCTCGGTGTTAGTCTCGGGGACACCGTCATCATTACCTAGATCATAAGCCGATTCTAAACATTGCACAGCCACTTCGAGGCTCTCGCAGGAATCAGCACTCAGATGATTACTTGACAATTCATCTTTGAGGAAATTCACGAAACTGCTCACTAGTTTTTTCGCATTCGAGGACGTCATAACGATCAGAATTGTATTAAAACGAATTTAAGTGTATATTTGTCGTGTGTTTATAGTTATGGTGTAATTATTTGGCAAATGACACGCAGAAATAACGCAATACAAAACAATTTTGACATTGAGGTTAGTCAGCCGAGTAGTGCTGCCACATGGGGAAATAATCGAAGAGTAAATGCCGGCGCGGAAAATTTGAATTTGAAACAACATGTTTAAGATTTTTACATATATTATATATATATATATATATATATATATATATATGTACATATATATAGATATATATATATATATATATATATCAGTGTGAGTATTATAACATATTAATAATTATCAAAATCTATTCATTACACGTTCCAAAGACATAAATTACAAGTCTTCTCGACTTTTAGGCTGAAATTGTTAGATAGCAATTACCATAACCTACAAAAGTTGAAAATGTCTGAAGAAACAAATTCAAACACAATAATCAAAATTGAAACAATCGAATATCCTCAAGTTAAACCAGAACTTGAAGATCATGAAAATACCACAGGTATTTGTAGCAAGAGGGATGAAATTTGTCTACAGCAATTTTTAAAATCTGAGGTTACGGTTGAGGAGGATATAAAGCAAGAAACTATTGATGAGCAAGATGCTGATACAAGTTCCAATGAAAAACCTTACATATTTAATGAAGACATCAGTAATTCAAGTTATTCAAGCACATCAATCGAAAGCGTTTCTGAAAAATGTACAACAAGCGATAATCTAAAGCTTCATGAATGTGAAATATGTAATAAAACATTCTCAAAAAAGACAAATTTAAATCAACATAAAATGGTTCATACCCGTAAAACCTATCCTGTTAGTTGTAAAATATGCAATAAAACACTCGCCGGAATACGATCATTAAAAATACATGAACTTGTTCACACTGGAGAACGACGTTACAAATGTGAAGAATGCAATAAAATGTTCAAATTGAAAGGTCATTTAAAACAACATAAAATAACTCACACTGGAGAACGTCCTTACATTTGCAAAATATGTCATAAAGCATTCAAAGAAAAAAGGACTTTTGATTACCATGAAAGAACTCACACTGAAAAAATTTATCCTTACAGTTGCGAAATATGTCATAAAAAATTCAAGGCAAAGCATAATTTGAAATACCATGAAACAATTCACACTGGAGAAAGTCCTTACAGTTGCCCAATATGTCATAAAACATTCATAGCAAAGCGGGCGTTAGAACAACATGAAGCAATTCACACTGGAGAAAACCCTTATGTATGCAAAATATGCAACAAAACATTCACATTAAAACAAACATTAACTCGACATGAAATTAGTCACACCGGAGTGCGTCCTTATGAATGTGAGATATGCAAAAAAACATTTACATCAAAACAATCAGTAGCTCGACATAAAATTAGTCACACTGGAGAACGTAATTATAATTGTGGAATTTGCAATAAAACATTTGCAATAAACGATTTGTTAAGACAACATGTAAGAGGAGTACATGCTGGAATATGGAAAAAACGTTCAAAAAAAGTTTTGAATTTGCCGGAAACTAACCAACCTTAAAAACCTTTCTTTGTGGTATTGCAAATTATGTATTTTTTTTAACTATGTTACTGATAAAAGTGAATTGAATGCAATTGTTTAATAGCTTACATATAAATGTTTAAATAATTATAAATATAATATTATATTTTTTTAATAGAGATATATAAATAAAGTATATATATTTTTAAAAAAGAAGTTTATATTTAACTTAAATAGTTGAAATAAATAATTGCGACTATGGCTTGATTTTTTATTTTGATTTTATTTTCATATTACCGTTATCGTATCATTTTTCGGTTTATATATATCTACATATACATAAAATTAAGTCGGGTTTTCCTTCCTGAAATAACTCCAGAACGCACGAACCGATTTCGACAATTTTGCATTCATTGAAAAGGTCTCAGGCTCCGCAAGGTTTATAACTAAGAAAATTAGTGGTGCATGGTATCGTGCCTTAATGCAAGCTCCTGGAACTTCACGCACCGTAATTAAAAATTCGAGTAATGACATTAGTGAGAATTATCAGAATTATGCTTGGTTAAGTCAACGAGCAATTCTTGCCGCAAAGAATAATGATGTACACGCACTGAACTTCACCATTTAATAAAAAATTGACGGCGATTTGGTGACATACCAATGATTTCGACTGGTTTTTCGTTTGACTTCAAACGATTGCAATTTGCAGTTCGCAATAACAAGTCTCAAGGCCAATTGCTTAGTGTTTGCGGGATAAATTTCAAATAGATTATTTAGAAAATCATTGTTGTTCACATGGGCAGTTATACGTTGCCTTTTCACGAGTTGGAAAACCATCCGCTTCGTTTGTGTTAACGCCAGACCAAAGAACAAAAAATGTGGTTTACCAAAGAGCACTTCAATGAAACGGATAATTTGCGGATTCACTTTCATTTACTTAGAGAAGTTCAACTAAAAAACACTTCATTTTTGTAATCGAAATAAATTCATTACTGTTGTATAATAAAATCAAATTTTTCCTTTTCAAATATGAAACAAACAAAAAATTTCTCCATCTTTCTCATGAAACCATCTGGTGGCGAAACGGAGTTCGTCGGGTTTGCTAATATATATATATATATATATATATATATATATATAATTATTACTTACTGCAACAACACTTGCAACTCTTTTGGATCCTTTTATCAATAATGCAATTTCACCAAAATGTGCTCCGTCTTCTAAATGACACACCTAAAATATTAAAAAACTTATATAAAATATTATATATATATATATATATATATATATTTGTAATATTTTTGCAGCCCAATCGTCACACTTTATTCGGTAATTACAAACGTTTGTAATTCCGGATAATCCGAATTCCGGATAATAGAAAGTCCGGATAATCCGAATTCCGGATAATCGAAAGTCCGGATAATCGAAAGTCCGGATAGTCGAAAGTCCGAATAATCGAAAGTCCGGATAATCGAAAGTCCGGATAATCGAAAGTCCGGATAATCCGAAGTACGGATAATCGAAAGTCCGGATAATCCGGATTCCGGATAATCCGAATTCCGGATAATCGAAAGTCCGGATAATCCGAAGTACGGATAATCGAAAGTACGGATGATCGAAAGTCCGGATAATCCGAATTCCGGATAATCCGAAGTCCGGATAATCAAAAGTCCGGATAATCCGAATTCCGGATAATTGAAAGTCCGGATAATCGAAAGTTCAGATATTCAGATATTCAGATATTCGGATATTCAGATATTTGGATATTCAGATATTCGGATATTCAGATATTCGGATATTCAGATATTCGGATATTCGCATATTCTGATATCCGGATTCCGGATAATCCGAAGTCCGGATAATTCGAAGTCCGGATAATCCGAAGTCTTACTTAGAAATTCTGACTTTTAATGATGCAATAATAATAAAAATATAAACGAAAGCGTTCTAAATTAATATTGAATTAAAATCTATCTTTTTTCATATATTTATATCACATATGATTTTAAATTTTGCCGCCGTTAAATTCGAAGTTGAAGTTGTTTTTGGTGTTGACCAATCAGAACGAAGTAGAAATGTCAAATTGTCAAAGTGCACAAATGAAGCAAGCAAAAATATAAAATATTAACAAAAACATCAGTGTTAGTGTTAAATTATATTAATAATTACCGAAATATATTCATTACACGTTCCTAACACATAAATACAAGTCTTTTCGACTTTTAGGCAAACATCGTTAGATAGCAATTATCATAACCTACAAAAGTCAAAAATGTCTGATAAAACAAATTCAAACACAACAATTAAAATTGAACCGATCGAATATCCTCAGGTAAAACAAGAGTTAGATGATTATGAAATTGATGAAATTTGTCCACAGCAATTTCTAAAATCAGAAGTTACGGTTGAAGAGGATATAAAGCAAGAAATCATCGATGAGCAAGTTTTTAAACATGATCCTCAAGTGAAAGAAGAGGTTAATGATAATGAACATACATCAAATATGATTATGGAGAATGATGAGATATGCCTACAGCAATTTTTAAAATCTGAGGTTACGATTGATGAGGAAATTAAACAAGAAAAGATCGATGGGCAAGATGCTGCGCCTAATACAAGTTTAAGTGAGAAAACTGACATATTCAATGAAAACATTGGTAATTCAAGTAACACGAACAAATCATTTGAAAGTGTTTCTGAAACATGTAAAATAAATGATAATCTAAAACCATATAAATGTAAATTTTGTAATAAAACATTCAAAAGAAAGCAACATTTAAAGCATCATGAAATAATTCACACTGGAGAACGTCCACATAAGTGTGAAATATGTCATAAAACATTCATAGAAAAGTGGTCTTTGAAACACCATGAAGCAATTCACACTGGAGAACGTCCGCATGAGTGTGAAATATGCAATAAAAGATTTGTCAATTTAAGAATGTTAAAAAACCACTCAGCATTGCATAAAGAAGACCCTTATTACAAACATCCACATGAGTGTGAAATATGCAGAAAAAAGTTTGTAACAAAAGGAGCATTAAATTACCATCAAAAGATTCACAGCGAAGAACGTCCTTATAAGTGCGAAATATGCAATAAAGCATTTGCATTAAAGGAATATCTTAAAGGACATAAAATGATTCATTCTGAAGAACATCCTTATAGTTGTGATATATGCAATAAAACATTTACAAGAAAGACATCATTTAAGATTCATGAAATGAATCATACTGGTGAACGACCTTACAAATGTGAAATATGCAATAAAGGATTCAAAGCAATGTGGCTTTTAAAACAACACGAAAATGTTCACACTGGTGAACATCCGCATAGTTGTGATATATGCAATGAAAAATTTACAGTAAAGTCATTATTAATCTATCATAAAATGAATCATACTGGTGAACGACCTTACAAATGCGAAATATGCAATAAAACATACAAATCAAAGATAAGTTTAACCGAACATGAAATGTCTCACACTGGAGAAAGACCTTTTGAATGTGAAATATGCCATAAAGCATTTAAAACAAATCGGGCTTTAAAAGCCCATGCAAGTATTCACATTGAAGAACGTACTTATAGTTGTGAAATATGCAATAAAACATACATAAGAAAAGATTCATTAACACGACATGAACTTATTCACACTGGAGAACTCCCTCATGAGTGCGAAATATGCAAAAAAAGGTTTCCACATCAAAGGAACTTAAAAACGCATTTATCAGTGCATAATGAAGAACGTCCTTATAGTTGTGAAATATGTAATAAAACATTCAATAGAAACACAAATTTAAAGCAACATAAAATGATTCATACAGGTGAACGTCCTTTTAGTTGTGAAATATGCAATAAAACATTCACATCTAAACAAGCATTCAATCAACATAAAATATCTCACACTGATGAGGGTTCTTTCAACTGCGAAATTTGCAATAAATCATTCTCAACAAAACAATCATTAAGCCGACATAAAGTGATCCATACAGGAGAACGCCATTATAGTTGTGGAATTTGCAATAAAGCATTTGCATTAAAAGATACATTAAGACAGCATTTGAAAGGAGTACATGCTGGTATACGCTCTGTAAAAAAACCTTCAGAAAAAATTTTGGAAGTGCCGGAAACTGTTCAACCTTAAAATCCTTGTGAGGATATCAATTGCAATTCATGTATTTTTTTTAACTCCGTCACTTACAAAAGTGTGTTGTATGTAATTGTTCAATAATGTAAATATAATGTTTAAATAATTATAAATGTAGCACTGTAATTTGTTTGTCAAAGGTATACATATATATGAATAAAATTGTGGTAAATGCTTATATTTTTTTTGAAGTAAAACTTCTTTAGGCGCGACGTAAGTGTAAAGTAATCGCTTGCATGATTCGCGCTTACGACGCTAGTAAGCGCAGCTATCGCAATTATTCGATCTAGTCTGCGAGCAAAACAAAAAATACATCAAATGCCAAATCATATGTCAAAAACAAAACAAAATGTGTCGACATTCACTTGAGTTTTGTATTTAGCTCGTAGTCTCTAAACATTTTTTGAAGTAAAACTTCTTTAGGCGCGACATGGGTTAGCAGTATGATTCGTGAGTTAATAAAAATGTCAGGATCGGAAGCATATTTTATCCCGTCCCCCATAAATAATTGTAGTGCAAATGATCGCAAATAAATAATGAAACTAAGGAAAAATCTGCGCTGCGTAAGAAATGTGAGTTTATTGAAGTAATTTGTATTGTAAAATATTTTTACAAAAGATAGATACTACAGTTGCTCAAAGAATGAAACTGTATCGCCAGCGAAATAGTCAAAACAAACAAGCAGTCAATAATGAAGTTCTACAAACACAATTACGTGATAAGTGAAATTGTGGAAACAATATTTCTTCATTAGCAATTTAATGTAAGTTTACATGTTTCTCTTTTATGATGGCTATGAAGAATAATTTTAATTTATTATAATAGTAGTTATAACTGATGCAGGTTCAAAGCCTCTTACAAACTCTCAAAGATCAACATTACATCGTCGAACAAAACAACTGCAGGAAAATAATCGGTTACTGCCAATTAATTAGAAAATCTTGAGCCGGAGATATCAATTTAGATGTTAATGTCAACACCAATGACATAAGTAAGAATCTTTTCAAACTATTTGACTCATGAAAAACGCTACAACTATTCACATTTAAATATATTATTCTGTTATCTTTTTAGTTAAAAGTACTGCTGTAACTTTTTCTGATACAGCCACTACATTACGTCAATTGCAAATTAATGATTTTGCATATAATGTGACAAGAACTGATCTTTAGCAAGAGTCAAATAAAGTATTTGATCTTCCATATAAAGACTTCAATTTGTTTAGGAATGCACGAAAATTGTTTGAAAAACAATTTACAAATAGCTTTGGCTATGTATGTTTTGTGTGTGATCGACTTTGGTTTCAAAGTGACTTAAAAATATCAAATGAAGCTCAAAAACAAATTCTTAATAATGGTTTTTTGAATATTGATTCAAATAATCAGGTTGGATGTCAAACTTGTCGGGGTAAAATTCCCACTTTGTGTAAATTTATGCCAAATTATCTACCTAAACTAGATATTGTATCTGAAAGGTTAATTTCACCTAGGTTGTGTTTCATGCAAATTAGACGATTGCGACATGCAAATGGACAATTTGGAATGTTTGGCCAAATTATAAATGTGCCTGTTGACAATGATAATATGGTTAATTTATTACCTCGTAATATTGATGATGATCATTGCATTAACGTTCACATAAAATAACAAATGATTCATAAATCAGGCCATTTGCAGGGCTTGATAAATAAAACAAATATAAAAGTATGGCTTCAATTTGTTAGGCAAGACGGATATTAAAGCTGTTCAAGGAATAAGATTATATCGTCAGCGAAAAAGTAAAAAAACACAAACAGTAAATGAATGTATGTTAATTTTAATTACACGAAGTTCTTCAAACACAATTGTTACAGGATGAGTTAATTTGCAAAAACAATATTTGTTTAGGCGTTGTTTAACATAATCCACTGTGTGAATGAATATTATAGAATTTATTAATCAGCAATTACTTTAAAACGATCATGTCATATTTCAAGTACGACTTTGATTACATTATTGTTTGTAAATATTATACATATTTTTAATGCTATTATAAATATATAATTTATAATTTATCATTATATAAATGTGTATAATGATTGACGACACTAATAAATGTGTGCATCACGAGTTTTACCATATTACTAATAAACATTATTCAAAATTTTTATATGATGTATTTATTTTTACTCAACTTAAATTTGCTACTTTATACACACAGAAATAAATTTTACTTCAATCGCGTGTGATCCTTACGCGCACTCTTTTTTTTCTTAATACATACTTATGAATATAAATAGAGCATATATACTCGAAGGATGATTTTTCTTTTAATTAAGAAACGGTATCTAAACGGCATTTTCAGAAAGTTTACATTTAAAATGTATTATAGATTAAAATAAATTAAGGGGCACAACTAGTGTAACCGCCAAAAAAAGGGTGATTTTTGTGAATTTATATTAAAAAAACTACTTTATCAATCATTTCAAAATTTTAGGAATATATTTATACATGTTTTAAGAATACATAGTAAAATTTTTGAAGAAAAAAATTAAATATTTTTTAAGTTATTGTCGATCTCCAACGGCGCGAAAAAAGGCCTTTCACTGCTGCAGTGATTCCGGCCTTCTACGTGGATGAAATTAAAAAAAAAAAATCTCGTTAAACTAGATAATATTGTCTGTGAAATGAACTACGATAAAGAAAAAAAAATCAAAAATTGACAAAATGATGGCGTTTTTGAAAAAAAAAAATCGAATTTTACCCAAAATTTTGGTCGTTTTTCGACTGCCAAAATTCGATGTTTGATCCGATCAAAAAATCGATAGTTCATTTTACGGAGAACTATATATAGAACATGTAAAAAAAAATCGATAATGATCGGATCATTTGTTTTTGAGTAATCGCTGCAGTAAATTCGGAAAATGCAGTTTCGAGAAAAACGCGTTTAAAGATTAAATGATCAATATACTATATATATACTATATTATAAAAATTTATAATACTATGATAAGAGTCATGTACTAAAAGAGAAGAATTTCGTTTATTAACGCAACAAGGGATTTAAAAAAGTAAAAACAGATTCAGCAAATTTTCTAAGGTCACCATTCTTTTCCTTATGTAAAATAAAAAAAAAATCTTAGTATTGAAAGTATGGTTTAAATTGATGATATGTTCCGAAAACATCGTCTTAAACTGATTTAGATTTTTCGAATTACAAATGTGTTGGTTCATTCTCTTGCAAATATATTGAGAACTTTCTCCAATGTAACATCAATTACAATCGTTACAATTTACTTTGTAAACAATTTACGTACTATATTATATTTACAAACACTGTTATATACTCTCGTACTATTATATACACAAATACTATTACTCATTCACGTATTATATTATATTTACAAACAACTCCGGAAAACAAAAAATATTCTGTCACAAAGCATACGAGTAAATTACATATAGATAAAATCAGTGCATTTGTTTAGTAAATAGTTTATAACTTTTAAACTAATAATGGTATTCAAATAGTGTCTTTTGCAAATTTGTTGGAAATTAAATAATCTACAACATTGTCTAACAATACAGCAACTTTGAATGTGGTAGAGAGTGTCATTAGAGACAATAAACGAGTGATTAGAGACGAACGAAGTTAATGCTTAAAAATTGTCTATGTGTACTTTACATTTTTTTGTTCAAATTATTTGTGATAGGACTGTTGAAATATATATATATATATATATATATATATATATATATATATATATATATACATATATATATACATTTATATATATACATATATATATATATATATATATATATATATATATATATATAGATATTTATATATATATAAAAGTTTTTTAATATTTCAGGTGTGTCATTTAGAAGACGGAGCACATTTTGGTGAAATTGCATTATTGATAAAAGGATCCAAAAGAGTTGCAAGTGTTGTTGCAGTAAGTAATAATATATATATATATATATATATATATATATATATATATTATAAATATATATACAAATAATTATATACATATATATATATATATATATATATATACATACTAGCAAACCCGACAAACTCCGTTTCGCCACCAGATGGTTTCGTGAGAAAGATGAAGAAATTTTTTGTTTGTTTTATATTTGAAAAGGAAAAATGTGATTTTATTATACAACAGTAATGAATTTATTTCGATTACAAAAATGAAGTGTTTTTTAGTTGAACTTCTCTAAGTAAATGAAAGTGAATTTGGTAAACCACATTTTTTGTTTTTTGGTCTGACGTTAACACAAACAAAGCAGATGGTTTTCCAACTCGTGAACAGGCAACGTATAACTGCCCATGTGAAAAACAATGATTTTCTAAATAATCTATTTGAAATTTATCACGGAAACACTAAGCGATTGGCCTAGCGACATGTTATTGCAAACGTAAGGCGAACTGGAAATTGCAATCGTTTGAAGTCAATCGGAAGACCAGTCGGAATCATTGGTATGTCACCAAATCGCCAGCAATTTTTGATTGAATGGTGAAATTCAGTGCGTGTACATCATATTTCTTGGCGGCAAGAATTGCTCGTTGACTTAACCAAGCATAATTCTGATAATTCTCACTAATATATTATTATATATTACTAATGTTACTACTCAAATTTTTAATTACGGTGCGTGAAGTTTTAGCGATTTGCATTAGAGCACGATGCCATGCACCACTAATTTTCTTAGCTATAAACCTTGCGGAGCCCGAGACCTTTTCAATGAATGCAAAATTATCGAAATCGGTTCGTGCGTTCTGGAGTTAAATCGTCAGGAAGGAAAACCCGACTTATTTTTATATATATATGTAGATATATATAAACCGAAAAATGACACGATAACGGTAATATGAAAATAAAATCAAAATAAAAAATCAAGCCATAGTCGCAATTATTTATTTCAACTATTTAAGTTAAATATAAACTTCTTCTTTAAAAATATATATACTTTATTTATATATCTCTATTAAAAAAATATAATATTATATTTATAATTATTTAAACATTTATTTGTAAGTTATTAAACAATTGCATTCGATTCACTTTTATCAGTAACAGAGTTAAAAAAATACATGAATTGTGCAGTTCCACTAAGAAAGGTTTTTATGGTTGGCTAGTTTCCGGCAAATTCAAAACTTTTTTTGAACGTTTTTTCCATATTCCAGCATGTACTCCTCTTACATGTTGTCTTAACAAATCGTTTATTGCAAATGTTTTATTGCAAATTCCACAATTATAATTACGTTCTCCAGTGTGACTAATTTTATGTCGAACTACTGATTGTTTTGATGTAAATGTTTTTTTGCATATCTCACATTCATAAGGACGCACTCCGGTGTGACTAATTTCATGTCGAGTTAATGTTTGTTTTAATGTGAATGTTTTGTTGCATATTTTGCATACATAAGGGTATTCTCCAGTGTGAATTGCTTCATGGTATTTCAAATGATGCTTTGCCTTGAATTTTTCATGACATATTTCGCAACTGTAAGGATAAATATTTTCAGCGTGAGTTCTTTCATGGTAATCAAAAGTCTTTTTTTCTTTGAATGCTTTATGACATATTTTGCAAATGTAAGGACGTTCTCCAGTGTGAGTTATTTTATGTTGTTTTAAATAGCTCTTTAATTTGAACATTTTATTGCATTCTTCACATTTGTAACGTCGTTCTCCAGTGTGAACAAGTTCATGTATTTTTAATGATCGTATTCCGGCGAGTGTTTTATTGCATATTTTACAACTAACAGAATGTTTATGGGAATGAATCACCTTATGTTGATTTAAATTTCTTTTTTGTGGGAATGTTTTATTACATATTTCACATTTATGAAGCTTTAGATTATCACTTGTTGTACATTTTCCAGAAACGCTTTCGAATGAATCGCTCGAATTACTTGAATTACTGGTGTCTTCATTAAGTATGTGAGGTTTTTCATTGGAATTTGTATTAGGCACAGCATCTAGCACATCAATCTTTTCTTGTTTAATTTCCTCGTCAATCGTAACCTCAGATTTTAGGAATTGCTGTAGGCATATATCATCATTCTCCATACTCATATTTGATGTATATTCATAATCATCAAACTCTTCTTTCACTTGAGGATCTTGTTTAAAATCTTGTTCATCAATGATTTCTTGCTTCATATCTTCCTCAACCGTAACCTCAGATTTTAAAAATTGCTGTAGACAAATTTCATCATTTTCCATACTAATGCCTGTTGTATTTTCATAATCTTTAAGTTCTTGTTTAATTTGAGGATATTCGTTCGGTTCAACTTTAATTGTTGTGTTTGAATTTATTGCTTCAGACATTTTCAACTTTTATAGGTTATGGTAAATGCTATCTAACGATGTATGCCTAAAAGTCAACACGATTTGTAATTTATGTGCTAGGAACGTGTAATAAATATATTTTGATAATTATTTATATGTTATAATACTAACACTGACTTTTTCGTTATTATTTTATTATTTCACTTGCTTTATTTACGCACTTTGACATTTTGACAGCTCTTCTTCGTTTAGGTTAGACAACATTAAAAAGATTTAAACTGCGAGTTTATCAAGGCTACCAAGAACTTAGAAATTCTGACTTTTAATGATGCAATAATAATAAAAATATAAACGAAAGCGTTCTAAATTAATATTGAATTAAAATCTATCTTTTTTCATGTAACTACATCACATATGATTTTAAATTTTGCCGCCGTTAAATTCGAAGTTGAAGTTGTTTCTGGTGTTGACCAATCAGAACGAAGTAGAAATGTCAAATTGTCAAATTGTCAAAGTGCACAAATGAAGCAAACAAAAATATATAATAATAACAAAAACATCAGTGTGAGTATTATAACATATTAATAATTATCAAAATCTATTCATTACACGTTCCAAAGACATAAATTACAAGTCTTCTCGACTTTTAGGCTGAAATTGTTAGATAGCAATTACCATAACCTACAAAAGTTGAAAATGTCTGTAGAAATAAATTCAAACACAACTATTAAAGTTGAACCGATTGAATATCCTCAGGTAAAACAAGAGTTAGATGATTATGAAATTGATGAAATTTGTCCACAGCAATTTCTAAAATCAGAGGTTAAGAGCGAGGAGGATATAAAGCAAGAAATCATCGATGAGCAAGATTTTAAACAAGAACCTCAAGTGAAACAAGAGGTTGATGATAATGAACATACATCAAATATGAGTATGGAAAATGATGAAATATGCCTACAGCAATTTTTAAAATCTGAGGTTACGGTTGAGGAGGATATAAAGCAAGAAACGATTGATGTGCAAGACGATGTGACAAGTTCCAATGAAAAACCTTACATATTTAATGAAGACATCAGTAATTCAACTAATATGAGCAAATTATTCCAAATCCTTTCTGGAAAGTGTATAACAAGCAATAATCTAAAGCTCTATGATTGTAAAATATGTAATAAAACATTCCAAAGTGAGGCAGATTTAAACCAACATAAAATGATTCATACTGGAGAACGTCCTTTTAGTTGTGAAATATGCAATAAAACATTCACATCAAATTCAAATTTAAAAGAACATAAAATGATCCACTCTGGAGAACGTCCTTACATTTGTGAAATATGCCATAAAACATTTGCCACAAAACGAAATTTAAAACAACATAAAGTTATTCACACTGGAGAGCGACCTTATGAATGTGAAATATGCAAAAAATCATTTTCAGCAATGAGAGTATTAAACCAACATAAGAAAATTCACACTGGAAAAAGTCAATTATTAAAGCAAACTAAACAACATCTTTATGAATGTGAAATATGCAATAAAACATTCAAAATGAAGTGGAATTTGAAACAACATGAAAGTGTTCACACTGGAGAACGTCCTTATGAGTGTGAAATATGTCATAAAGCATTCAAAGACGAGCGGACTTTAAAACGCCATAAAACAATTCACACTGGAGAAAATCCTTATGAGTGCAATATTTGCAACAAAACATTCCCAAATATGGCATCATTAAGACTACACGAACTTTGTCACACTGGAGAACGTCCTCATGAGTGTGAAATATGCAATAAATCATTCAGATTAAAACAATCATTAATTCGACATAAAGTTATTCACACTGGAGAACGACCTTATGAATGTGAGATATGCAAAAAAACATTTTCAGCCAAGAACAATTTATTCAAGCATAAAAGGCTTCATACCAAAGAAAGTGTTTGCAAAATATGCAATGAAACATTTGCAACAAAACAATGTTTGAAGCAACATAAAGTTACTCACACTGAAGAATGCCCTCATCAGTGTAATACATGCAAAAAGAGATTCAAATCAAAATATTCATTAACAGAGCATGAAATAATTCACACTGGAGAACGTCCTTATAGTTGTGAAATATGCAATGAAGCATTTAAAAGCAAACGTGCATTAAGAGAACATGGAACAATTCATACTGGAGAACGTCCTTACAATTGTGAAATATGCAATAAAGCATTCAGATTAAAAGTAACATTAAAACGACATGCAGTTTTACACACTGGCGAACGTCGTTATGAGTGTGAAATATGCAAAAAGAGATTTTCACTCCGAGTGACCTTAAAAAAGCATTTATCTGTGCATTCTGAAGAACGCTCTTATAATTGTGAAATATGCAATAAAGCATATAAAACAAAGTCAGATTTAAAACACCATCAAATTATTCACACTGGAGAACGGCCTTATAGTTGTGAAATATGCTATAAAACATTTGCATTGAAAAAGACATTAACACAACATGGAGCAGTTCATGCTGGAGAACGTCCTTACAGTTGTGAAATTTGCAATAAAGCATATGCATTAAAAAGTGCATTAAGACGACATGTAAAAGAACTACATGATGAAGTAAGAAAAGATTCAACAATGAATTTGCCGGAAACTGTTCAACCTTAAAATTCATTTCTTGTGGAGATATCAATTACAATTCATATATTTTTTAACTCTGTTACTGATAAAAGTGTGTTGTAATTGTAATTGTTTAATAATGCTAATATAAATGTTTAAATAATTATAAATATAGCATTTTATTTTTTTCAATAGAAAAATATAAATAGACTGTATATATACTCAGATAGTCGAAATAAATAATTTCGACTATGACAATTCAGTTTCAAAATGTTTATATATTTTATATGCGCTATTTTACATTAGTCTTAGAAATATGAGATAAGGTCCTTAGATAAATTTATTTTAGCGCGACTCGTTTAGGTTTTGTTCATATGCGTTGCGTTTCTTGTAAACATATACAAAGATCGTCGTCTAAATATAAGCACTGATATAGAATCTATAAAATACAAGTGATGAAATTTACATTATCAATAATAATAAAAACTAGTAGTGTATGGCATCGTGCCTTAAGGCAAATTGCTGGTACTTCCCGTGCCGTGATAAAATTTCGAGAAATTTTAAACGTTTTCAAATATATTATTACAAATAGTGTAACTTTCATTATTTTTGCTATCTTGTTTGTTATATCTGAGCAAATCAAATGTAAATCATAAATCAATTTATCTCCAAAACATTAACAATCGTCATTTCATTTCGAATTCAAGTTCAAAAAAAAAATACTTGCCTAATTTACACTTTTACATTTCTAAATTAAACTACTACATTAATACTATATCTCTTGTAACTTTTAAACGGCATGTCTAATTTATAATATGTACAAAACTAAATTATATATAATGTTGCCCAATATTACAAGACCCTAAAGCAACTCAGTATACTTTAAAATTGCAATTAAAAGTTTGTATCTAATTTTATTAGCTTTAAGTGCGTTCATCAGTGCATTTATTTATTTCAACCCTTTCAACTTTTAAACCGTTCATCTAATATAAATAAAACATTTGACAATTTTAATTAAAATTTATTAAAGTGCAAAATTAATTAAAATTTAACACTTGTTAATATTATTATGACCTAGAGCATCTCGGTATCCTCTGAAAGAGCATTTGAAAACAGTGTTAGTGCTGCTAATTTAATCGTGACTAATGTGTATTATATATCTTGTAACTTTTAAACAGTACGTCTAAAATTCGTCAAATATTCGGAAAATTTATGCAAAATTAAATTATCTATAATGTTGTCTAATAACATATAACCCTACAGCAACTGGGTATACTTTAAATTGGCAAACGAGTAAATAATTTTTTTGTGGGCGTACTCGTTTATATTGAAGCTGCTGCAATTGTGAAGTATGCAATTAATTTTTATGCATTTATTTATTATATCTCTTGAAATTTTTCAATGGTACGTTCAAAAGTACATAAAATATTTTGCAAATTTGTTTAGAATTAAATATACAATACTTTCTAATACCACAGAAACCTACAACAAATCGGTATACTTAAAAATCATCATTGAAAATAGATAAGTAACACGAGTACGTATCGTCATGCATTTGTTTATTGCATCTTTTGTAATTTTTAAAATAATCACATGAAATGAATAGAATATTTTGCAAATTTGTGCAAAATTAAATAATCTAAAATATTTTCTAATATCACAAGAACCTACAGCAACTCGGTATACTTAAAAATCGAAAATAGATAGAAAAATAAAAAATTGAAACTAGATAAGTTACTCCGGCACGTATGATCATACATTTATTTAAGGCATCTCTTGTAACTTTTAAAATAATCGCTTAATATTAATCAAATATTCTGCAAATTTGTACAAAATTGAATAAAAAATAATATTTTCTAATATCACAAAAACCTACAACAACTCGATATACTTAAAAATCATGATTGAAAGTAGATAAGTATGGCCATGCATTTGTTTATTATATCTCTTGTAACTTTTAAAATAATCACTTTATATTAATCAAATATTCTACAAATTTGTACAAAATTGAATAAGAAATAATCTTTTCTAATATCACAAGAACCTACAACAACTCGGTATACTTAAAAATTGTCTTTGAATGTAGATAAGTAACTCGAGTACGTAGAAAAATCGTCATTGAAAATAGACTAGTTGTAACTCGAGTACGTATGGTCATGCATTTGTTTATTATATCTCTTGTAACATTCAAAATAAGAATTTAATGTTAATGAAATATTCTGCGACTTTGTACAAAATTTAATAATCTAAAATATTTTCTAATATCACAAGAACCTACAACAACTCGGTATACTTTAAAATCATGATTGAAAGTAGATAAGTACGGTCCAGTAGAATTCGAGAAATAGTGGACATCGTATTGAAAGAACTAGTTTTTAGTAAAAAGCGTTTAAAGTTTGGCAAAAGGAATAAAAGCGGAAGAAATTATCATGATCAAACAGCTGTACCTCCTAAAATAATTTAAATTGTGAAAAATCTTCTCGTACACATATTCTTTTGAATTTGCACTTAATAAGGAAAATTTAAATTTAAATTGGACCAAAATCTATCTTTTTCCATGTAACTGTATAACAAATGATTTTGAATTTTGCGCCGTTAACTTCGAAGTTGAAGTTGTTTCTGGTGTTGACCAATCAGAACGAAGTAGAAATGTCAAAATGTCAAATTGTCAAAGTGCACAAATGAAGCAAACAAAAATATAAAATAATATTAAAAACATCAGTGTTAGTGTTATATCATATTAATAATTATCAAAATATATTCATAACACGTTCCTAACACATAAATACAAGTCTTTTCGACTTTTAGGCAGACATCGTTAGATAGCATTTACCATAACCTACAAAAGCTGAAAATGTCTGAAGAATCAAATTCAAACACAGCAATTAAAATTGAACCGAATGAATATCCTCAGGTGAAACAAGAATTAGATGATTATGAAATTGATGAAATTTGTCCACAGCAATTTCTAAAATCAGAGGTTACAGTTGAGGAGGATATAAAGCAAGAAATGGTTGATGAGCAAGATTTTAAACAAGATTCTCAAGTGAAAGAAGAGGTTGATCATTATGAATATACATCAAATATGATTATGGAGAATGATGAGATATGCCTACAGCAATTTTTAAAATCTGAGGTTACGATTGAAGAGGAAACAAAGCAAGAAAAGATTGATGTGCAAGATGCTGCGACAAGTTCCAATGAAAAACCTTACATATTTAATGAAGACATCAGTAATTCAACTAATATGAGCAAATCATTCCAAATCCTTTCTGGAAAGTGTACAACAAGCGATAATCTAAAGCTTTATGATTGTAAAATATGTAATAAAACATTCCAAAGAGAGGCAGATTTAAACCGACATGAAATGATTCATACTGGAGAACGTCCTTTTAGTTGTGAAATATGCAATAAAACATTCACATTAAAGTCAAATTTAAAAGAACATAAAATGATCCACTCTGGAGAACGTCCTTACAGTTGTGAAATATGTCTTAAAACATTTGTCACAAAACGAAATTTAAAACAACATAAAGTTATTCACACTGGAGAGCGACCTTATGAATGTGAAATATGCAAAAAATCATTTTCAGCAATGAGAGTATTAAAACAACATAATAGAATTCACACTGGAGAAAATCAATTAGTAAAGCAAACCAAAGAACATCTTTATGAATGTGAAATATGCAATAAAACATTCAAAATGAAGTGGAATTTGAAACAACATGAAAGTGTTCACACTGGAGAACGTCCTCATGAGTGTGAAATATGCAATAAATCATTCAGATTAAAACAATCATTAATTCAACATAAAGTTATTCACACTGGAGAACGACCTTATAAATGTGAGATATGCAAAAAAACATTTTCAGCCAAGAACAATTTATTAAAACATAAAAAGCTTCATACAACTCGGTATACCTAAAAATCGCATTTGAAAGTAGATAAGTATGGCCATGCATTTGTTTATTATATCTCTTGTAACTTTTAAAATAATCACTTTATATTAATCAAATATTCTACAAATTTGTACAAAATTGAATAAGAAATAATATTGTCTCAAATTGAATATGAAAATAGACAAGTTACTCCGGCACGTATGGGGTCATGCATTTATTTATGGCATCTCTTTTTAGACAAGAAAATTTTTAAATTAAATTTTAAAAAATATTACACAAAATTGAAAATGTGCTCCGGTATAGTCACAGTCTAAACGCATTTGCAAATAATTCTATGCGACATTTTCACTTACACTGTGGTTAGCTTGGCGGCATTTTCACATTTTTCAATAGTTTTTTCCCAAAATTGGAAAAGTGCTCCATAAACATAAACAGTCTAAACACACTTGGGTAAACATTTGTACCAGAGTGGAGATTAGACTGTGCTTAGCCTGGGTAATTTTTTGAATTTTTAATCCAAAATTACAAAAATATTTTATGGAAACTAAAAAAAGATATAATAATTTTTTATCCTCAAAAGCAATTGTTTTGTCAATACAAGCAGAAAGTTTTTTAGGTAATCGGTCCAGAAGAACTCGAAAAATGGTGTACATCGTATTGAAAGAACTAGTTTTGAGTAAAACGCGTTTAAAGTTTCGCAAAAGGAATAAAACCGGAGGAAATTATCATGATCAAACAGCTGTACCTCCTAAAATAATTTAAATTGTGAAAAATCTTCTCGTACACATATTCTTTTGAATTTGCACATAAATAAGGAAAATTTAAATTTAAATTGGACCAAAATCTATTTTTTTCCATGTATTTTGATTTTGATTTTGCGCCGTTAACTTCGAAGTTGAAGTTGTTTCTGGTGTTGACCAATCAGAACGAAGTAGAAATGTCAAATTGTCAAAGTTCATAAATGAAGCAAACAAAATATAAAATAATAACAAAAACATCAGTGTTAGTGTTATAACATATTAATAATTATCAAAATTATTCATTACACGTTCCAAACACATAAATTACAAGTCTTTCGACTTTTAGGCTGAAATTGTTAGATAGCAATTACCATAACCTACAAAAGTTGAAAATGTCTGATGAAACAAATTCAAACACAACAATTAAAGTTGAAACAACGAATATCCTCAGTTAAACAAGAACTTGAAGATCATGAAAATACCACAGGCATTTGTAGCAAGAGGGATGAAATTTGTCTACAGCAATTTTTAAAATCTGAGGTTACGGTTGAGGAGGATATAAAGCAAGAAACTATCGATGAGCAAGATGCTGATACAAGTTCCAATGAAAAACCTTATATATTTAATGAAGACATCAGTAATTCAAGTTATTCAAGCACATCATTCGAAAGCGTTTCTGAAAAATGTACAACAAGCGATAATCTAAAGCTCCATGAATGTGAAATATGTAATAAAACATTCACACGTAAGACAAATTTAAAGCAACATAAAATGATTCATACAGGTGAACGTCCTTTTAGTTGTGAAATATGCAATAAAACATTCACAACGAAGCGACCATTAAAGGAACATAGAATGCTTCACACTGGAGACAGGCCTTATGAATGTAAAATATGCCATAAAACATTCGTAGCAAAGAAAATATTAAAACAACCATGAAAGGCTTCACACTGAAGAAAGACATTATGAATGCGGAATATGCAATAGAACATTTGCAACAAAACAATACCTTAAAGTACATAATGTACTCACACTGGGGAACGCCCTCATCAGTGCAAAATATGCAGAAAAGGATTCACAACAAAAGATTACTTAATACGACATGAATTTATTCACACTGGAGAACTGCCTTATGAGTGCGAAATATGCAAAAAAAGATTTCCACACCAAAATTACTTAAAAAGGCATTCAATAGTGCATACTGAAGAACGTCCTTATGATTGTGAAATGTGCAATAAAAAATTTAAATCAAAGGAAGATTTAAAACGTCATGAAATTACTCATACTGGAGAACGTCCACATGAGTGTGAAATATGCAATAAATCATTCGCACAGAAGACACATTTAACAAGACATAAACAGACTCACACTAAAGAACAGCTTTATGAATGCGAAATATGCAACAAAACATTCTCATCGATCCAATACCTTAAATCACATGAATTTAGTCACACGGGGGAGAGTCCTTACAGTTGTGGATTATGCCATAAAGCATATGCAACAAAACAATCATTAGGACGACATGAAAAAAAATTTCATGCTGGAGTACAACCAGAACACAATGAACAAAACTTTTGAATTGAAAATTAACACTTGCAGAAATAGGAGAAAGACTACAGAAAAATATAAAAAAGAATGAAAATACTGAAAAAAACACAACGTCTACTACACATAAAACACTACTGTATCCATCAATGTATCCAACATGTGAAGAAGAGATAAAACTAGCTGTAAGTCGAATTCTGTCTTGAGGCAATTATGGCATCGTGCCTTAAGGCAAATTGCTGGAACTTCCTGTACCGTAACAAAATGTTCGAGGAATACTGAATGTTTTCAAATAGATTATTATAAATATTGTAACATGTCTAATAATATTTATAAGAATTATATAAACTGAATTGCAAAGTTGAAAATATTGTTTAAAGTAAATTAGAACTATAGTCAGAATTAAAAATAAAATCAGAATTATTTTCGATATACATAAAATTAAAAAAAAAAAGTTGAAACAAAATTTTTTTTCCAAAATCAATATTTTGTAAGACAAGCAGAAAGTTCTTTGAATCATTTAAATCGGACGCTTATTCTCTCAAAAAAGCCCTTTTTTACATATTTAGCTCCGTATCTTCGAAATGGCTGGCCTGCCTTTGCCAAAAACTATTAAACACTTCTCCCAATCATTCAAATCGGATACTCCGTTCTCAAAAAGTTGATTTCTATTTTCTGCACCCGTTGCTCCGTATCTCCGAAGCGGCTGGACCTGCCTTTGCCAAAAACTAATCAGCACATTCCTTATTAATAGGAATCGAATGTTTTTTGAACCATTCAAATCGGTTGATCCGTACGCTCGAAAACGTGGGCGAAAAATTGTATCCATACATACATAAAACACACACACACACATCCATTTTTTCTGAAGTATGCCAAAATGTCAGAAACCTTCAAAACGTCGAAAAATGTTAAAATTTTCAATTCCGATTTTCGGCCCATTACAATAACTTACCCTACGGGAAGTTAATAAATTTCCATATAATCATTCATATTAAACAAATGGTTTTAAAGTTATGAGATCTATAATACACTAGTGTAACTTTACTGAATACTTTGCTCCGGATGATTTAACAATTGTAATAATTTTTCTTTTTTTATTAGAGTCCATGTCTCTGATCCGCAGAGAACACAATTTATTTAGTAACATCATGCCATCGTTTTGCACACAAATTATTATGAAGTAGTTACTGTATGTTTTAATTTAAAATTTTGTGTAGAAAAATTGATTTCAACAAACCAAAACTTTATCTTGGGCATTGGAAAATAATTTGACGATCAATAGTGTTAAAATATTAAATAAACAATAAGTAAATATTAAATATAAATATATATATATATATATATTAATATACTATATATATAATTATTTATAAAGTTAACCTAAATTGTGCAACTTACCCCAACAAGTCTTGAAAACACTCGTACACATTTTAAAACTATTGACACTTATAAATAACTTATTAAATATGTGTAATTAACGATAACAATTAATAATTAGTTATAATCAATTTAATATAACGACTTTAACACAACGAACTTTATTTAAAACTATTTCAATTAACATCTATTTTTGCCGACATTTGCAAATATCAACTGCACGTGTTGAGGGTTCACAGGAACTTAAAAAAAATGCGCGAAATTTAAATAGATAATTGATATATTTTATATTATAATATTTATATAATTACTATTGTATTATATTATAACTGCTCTATATTTATATTATTATATAGCTTAGCAACTTTTAACGTTAATGCAATGGTTTTAATTTCAAAAATAACTTTAAAACTAATTCGATATCTTGCGAATTTTAAATGGCGGGTGTGGAGGGGTTCACAGGACTTTAACAAAAAAGCGCAAAATTTAAATTGATAATTGACTTTGACATTATATTATATTATTCATATAATTACTATTGTATTATATTATAACTGCTATTATATTTATATTATTTATATAGCTTAGCAACTTTTAACGTAATGCAATGGTTTTAAATTCAAAAAATAACTTTAAAACTAATTCGATTTTGCAAAAATTAAATGGCGGGCGTGAAGGAGTTCAACACAGGACCTTAACAAAAAAGCGCGAAATTTAAATGATAATTTGAATAATATTGAGTTTAGTTAGAATTTGCACTTTGTACTAATAATTGCAAGACTAACTTATGTATGGAAATGTTTAATACTATTCGATCAAAATAAATTTAGTTTGGCAAAAACAGTTTTTTTAATATATATTATATACTCAATTTACTCATAATGTTTATTACTTAAGTAATTGTGTATTGTAAGCTTAAATTTATTTATCATAAATTTAAATATATTTACCATATCATATTTATCTTTATTCATAATATCCTTCTAGATCATTCAGTATCTTCTATTTTTTATCTCGATTTATGAATATTTTTGGAAATTTCTTTCTTGATTATATTTGTATATCGTCAATTTTTATCTTCTAGTTGGAAATTTGTGAAGTCTACCAATTAGAATACAGAGACTTCCTAAAAGTGCATCGTTCCGTACCAAGATCTCTTGAACAGGATTCAGGAACAAGCTATGAAACGAGTCAGGCATTACTGCTCTTCTAGACGATGTTGGAATGGATACCTTGATGAAAACAAGATTTTAAAAATATATATTTGTATAATAATAATTCAATGCATAAACTTATGTATATATAATAATAATGGGTAGTTTTGAATAAAACGACTTTGAAT